TACATTATTAACATTACAGAATCCACATATTCCTGCCAGTTTTAATATGTATTTTGTAATCAACAAGTGTGTAACAGCGGTCAAAGTTTCACACTTCTCTAGCCATTATCTCCGTAACCGTTCAACTTTGGACATAGGTGTTTTGGGTTATATCGGCATACTTTAACGTAAGGAACACCCTCCCGAAGTTTGGTACATTCCTCCTGGGACACCCTGTATAATCTAAAAACAAGACATTTGAGAACAGGCTGCTGAGGAAAATTTTTGGACCTAGGGGTGATGAAATAACGGAGAGAAGTAACAGTGTGGAGCTTGATAGTTTTTACTCGTTGAAAAGGACAGGAGACATGAATCGGCAGACTGGATAAGGAAATACATCTGAAATTGTTGTCAGAAGACCGAAGAAGCTTTGCTTGGAAAATAAGACAGAGGAGGAAATGTAATACTACCGTTACTCTGGAGAACTATGTTATGAAGTGAATGAACATTGCAGTGCAGTGATTAGTGCACTTGTCTAATATTCATGAGGCCTAGGATTCAGTCCCTGCCTGGAGACTGGTTATCTTGACAAATTTTTCATTTTTATTTGTAGGTCCAAACAAACACTTGGATGCTCTTACATATATTAAACCTACATGTTTATGTATTTATTTTCCAACAGTAGATTTTAACTAACATAGTATTATAGCCATCAGTGATACAGTAGATTGGAAAGTAATGAAAGACAAAATTGTCTATGAAGTAACAATACATGTTTCAACATGTGTGACATCATGACACACAACAGGATGCATACCATAAATATTGTATTTATGAAGTTAAAATTATGAGAAGGGTCAATTTAAATATTCTATTTTAAATACTCTTTCAGTTGGCAGTAAAGTCTGTTGAGTATACCAACATTATTTGTGAGGAGTCAGTATATTTGTGATTATGATAATATATATTGCTGATTATATAATTACCAATTCCAAACTACAAGGAGTTTTTACCAATTTTAGAAGCCCATTCAAGTGTAAATATTCTGCTGTCATTGCTATGTCATTGTCATTTTAAAGTAATTCTCCACCCAACCCCCTCAATAAAAGGCTTAAATGAAAACACTTATGTGCGAAGCCACCAAAATATAACTTCACTAATTGTTTATACCATCAATTTATGCAATTGATTTTATTTTTGAACAAGTGCAAGGTGATTATTAAATAAAAGATGCATTGAGTAATTTTCAAAAACATTTGTTAAATACCTCTTATTGAAGAAGAAAAAAAAAGATATGTAGTTCTGGTTGCTTGAAACTGATTTTCAGGGCTTTCAGTTACTAGGTCTTATTCTTGTGCAGTGAGGGAATCATTGTGAGGGGGGGGGGAAAGGAATTTGAAACAAAACTGAAAATGAAATTTAAATGACGTAGGAAGCAAGTGTCATTGCTTTTCCATATTCCGATGTGGACAATTGAAATTGTAGTCAGTACTTGTAATAATTTTTTAATACAGTTTCAAAATGTGTAATTCTTTCAGATTCAAAGTGGAAACAATAACATAAGTACAAATAACATTAGCACAACCTTAAGAAATCCAAATTGTCAGGTGGTAACTGACAATAACATAGAAGTTTGTGGTGAAGTGTTGGGTAACGTAGTACAGGGACGCAGCATTTGCAATACGGGGACCGCAGGCAGCCTTATAACAGGAAATGATGCTGGTGGTGACACCACCACTCGTCGAAGTCAAAATAGTCACACCACCCCAGCATCAGCAGGACATGATGGTTGTAGATCAACACATGAACCAACCCCCAGCCCAACAAGAAAGAGGAACTTGATTGGCAATACTGTTCGGAGCTTGTTTCAATCAAGGAGTAAAGACAGGTTAGAGCCTCTATTACACTACATATATAAACAACACAGGCAAATCTGACTCTACTAGACCTACTGTTTCCATAAGCAAATGGAAAGTTTGTTACTCCAGAAACTTAAAAGTACTAAAATGTCATCTGTATTTATAGTTGTGTATTTTGTAAGTCAAAGCAATCAGATTGTCGTCTCTTGTCATCTGCTTTCACTGCTTGGTATTCATATTTTAAACATATGATGTTGGAGCCAACATTTTATAAATGGTTCTAAGAACAAAGCGTACAGAGTAAGGCAGTGATGTGAAAATTGTGTGTTGATGAACTCATGTGATGTAGCAGAAAAATATTAATGCATGAATTAGTGTTGAAATTTGACATAATTGTCAACAGGTTTGACACCAGAATACTTCAGAATAACTTGGGATTGTGTAAAGTCATCACGTGATGTGTGACAAAACAGTTTTTGCCAGAAGAGAAGGGAAATTAATTCCAACATAACTGGTTCTGAGTCAATGGTGCCTATGGGAAGAGGGTCGTGTTTTTAAAGTCATATAATGTAATTTGATTTTTTGGGATGAACATTGTACCGAAATGTTTGAAATTCGCCACACTTTCAGGGGCTCTTTCAGATATTTTATATCCTAATTGTGTCTTGCAATTTGGTGATGAGATAAAACAGTTACTTGGAGAATGGAGAGTATTGTGTACCTAGGAACAATATGAACAATACTGCTTGCCTTGTAATGTTAGGGTAATGAGTTCAAGAAAATTATGGTGAGATGGACATGATACTTGGTGGGGGAGATAGGATATTCCTAGAAACTTTTACTGTAGAACTGCTGTGAAGATGGAGAAGGGGCTGGGGAATTATGTGAAGATGAAAACTGGATTTAACTCGTTGAGATCAGGCTTTAGTATGAGCAGTAGTTTACTTTTGGGTTCTATTATAAGAGTAGATTAAAATCCCAGTGGGGCACTGCTTCTGGGACAGTCACCCACAGATGTCAAATAACATGGTAGTCGTATTATATCATAATTTAATAATTAATGATGTCAAGAATTCACTGCTTACATATAGGGTACTAGGAAATGTAAGACTCTTATCATGCTCAGAAACATTACTTTGAATATTCTGTTTTACATAGGTACAAAAGTCATTTTTAAACTAAGAACTATTTTGTTATAAACAAAAGAAAAATGTATTTATCCAAATAATTTTAATATCTCTACTAGATACAGCATATGTTTATTTTTCTGCAGAGTCCCCATTGCAGTTTAGACATTTCTCCAGACGATGCATAAGCTTGATGTTCCCCTTGTCATAGAAGTCTGCCATCAGTCCATTTAACCAATCCACAACTGCTTTTGTTCATCTGTGAGCATTCTTGGAACCCATCTGTCGCAAATTTTTCGCTATCAGAGTTGAACTGTAACAATCTCATGGAGGACAGATCATGAAACATATTTGAAATTTCATGAAGCTCATGAATAATGAATCACCTGTTTTCACGAATGTGAGGATCAAACCTTCCTTTCAAATCCTCAGTGATGAGTTCTTTATAAAGCACTGTGACACATCAGCCAATTCACTCAGTGGCTCGGTAAACACTGGAGACATGGCAGAGGGTCTGAGGGCAGCTCTCAACCTTAAAAATCTCTGGTCATTGACCTGCATAGGCAGGGTGCTCAAATGGTTCTTACTTTAAAAATGACTTATGTAGTAATGTGTAACTGTCATTGACTGTGCTGTATAACGTATAATAAACATTCTTCTGTAGAGTGAGCTCTCAGACAGCCATTTCAAACACTAGTCAAGCATCCACCAGTCACCGCATTCAGGATCGGAGTTCTGACAGCCTTGCTTCCTCATATGGAAATCGACATAAAACGAGTACTCAATCCCCCACACCTGTTCCTGCAAGTGGCAACAAAAAAGTGAGTACAGGTTTATTTCATTGTGATTGATGTGTGGGTCTGGTAACTTAACAAAATCTTGTATTAGATTTCAGTAAAATTAAATCCATTCCTAAAGTTGTAGACCCTGTTTAGAAACAGGTAATGTTATGTAAGATATATCTTATGGCATAGTACCGGTTTCTGAGTTATTGGTTTACACTGGAAGCTATACCAGATAGAACTCTTTTTACCCTTATCCAAAATTCTTTTTGTTATGTTTGGGGACACAGATAACAATGTAACTAAATTTTGTTTCATCTTTTTTGACAGTACATTGTGTTTTGATGGTATTCATAATCCATTTTATAATTATAAAGATATTCGCATTATTACAGAAAATATATCAAAACCATGAAAGAAGGGAATTTTATTTTACATTTGGCCTTCCTGTAATAGCCTCTAAGCAGGTACATAGGCAGCAAAGAGAATAAAACTTTGTATTCTTATGTAATGTCAGGATTTAGAAAGAGATTTAAGAGAACAGCTATATATTTGAGCTCACACAAAGTGGCTGAAATATGACTTCGAACTTTTCCCTGTTGGCACCCAGTTCAAGGTATACTCACACTGCATATGCAAAATCAGATGTGCAATGTAACTTCTGCTAACAGACTAGTTTTCTATACTCAGAATCTACTTATCTTTCCTCTATAATAATTTTATAATCTGCAGCATATTTTAAAAAATGAAGTCATATTAATTAACATGAGACCACACCAGTTCGCAAACAACAGACCCCATCACAAAATTGTACTTGATTGCATTTCATGCAGACAAAAGTTTAGGGATGATGACAGGGTTACTGTGAAAGTGAAAGCTTGGCTCCAACAGATTCCAGAGAACTTCCGCTCACCCTTGTTTCTAGGCTGAAACACCTACAGATAATCAGAAGAATAAAAAGTATGCATTAAGCTGCATATGTAAAGACTGGCAGTTTCATGACTTTGTGTTGAGGCAAATGGATTTATTTGTAATTAGCTTTTGTTTTGAGGTAGGAAATGTGTATCACCAAATGTTTTTTGTGAATTCAGTCAGAGTGGTCTTCGTTATGTCATAATGGGAGCTTGCAAAGGGAGAACTTTCTTCCTTTTCATTCATAATATCCTTTAGTCCTTTACATAATGCACTGGATTTGATTAGTGCAGTTCCAGGCAACAGCTCTGTAAACATGGTCCAACATACAACAATAGAGGAAGCTGTGTTTCCCGTGTCCACAGTGACGTCACACAATAGTGGATAGAGACCACGTGATGTGTTTTCAGTAGATCAAACGATGTACCAATAGACTGCCTGGATAGCAATCATGTGATATGTGCGTAGTGTTGGTCCATGCCCATTCCACAGCTATATAAGTAGGAGTGACAGAATTTATTCAAGGTAGTTATGAGTTACGAGTCAGTTGTAAGCTTGAGGAGTTCAGGAGAGTTTTTAGATGAGTTCCGAGTTTCCATGGTGATTGAACAAGAAATGGCCAGAAGACTTCTTAGTAATTTGAAGTGCTAGTTTCTGTGTTGAGGTCCATTGCTAGGAGACTACTAGTGGAAACTGAGAATCCTAGTGTGTGTGCAGCAGTGAACTGGAAGTGAGTAAATCACTGATAGTGCTGTATTTTGCTAATAAATCCAATCATCTGATCTAGAATCCATTATTTTCATCATGCATCTCACCGTACATATGACATTTTGGTGTCAGAAGTTGGTGGTTCAGATTGTATTGAAGTCATCAGCAGTTACAACCATAAAATATGCGACAGCTGGTGTTAGAAGTGGTATGGATAGTATTGGAGTGATCGAATATTGGAATGAAGATCTATTTTACAGTGCCATCTGACAAAAATGGAAAACATAAAATTCCTGAAAGCCATGCTTTGATAAATGAACACCAAAATGGATGCCACCCAAGAAACAAAGGAGAGGCAGGTAGGTTCACTAGTCTCCATAATGGAGACCACCAGAAAAACCAACAGACGAACTGAAACAAATAAGAGCTGGCCAAGAACATATTAAAGAAATTATGGAAGCACAGTGTGGGAGGTCCCTAAGGAAGATGCCATAGTGAAATTAATCAAAGGACTAAGGAAGTGCCATAGGGGCTGGAAGCTAGCTGCAAGACGATGTGGAGAGCCAGAGGAACTGACCCAAGCAGATTGTGGATCCAGGAGGAAGTTGGCTGCCACCTTTAGGAAGGTGTCCCGCCATGCAAGAGTGCCATGGCACAAGAGGAACATTGTCAGAAATAAGTAGACCAGAGCCAAGGATGAGTGAGGAATCCAGAGAGTATGGATACTGAGGGAGAGAGTGCAGATGTACCATGAAGGCAGAAAGGGAGTGAAGGACCTAGACAGCAGATGGCCACGATATCTGAGGAAACAAAACCTGAAGAAACTACAACAGGAAAGCACAGGAAATGTAAACGAGACTCTCAGGAAGACCATCAGACTGGCATTCATGAAGCAAGCAACCAGGATGTCCAGTGGGTTGCAGAAAACAAGGAACTGGACCTTGTGGGAGGGTCGGCCCCCTCCAAAGCAGAAGAAAATCCTATTAGCAGCATCTGTAAGAAGAGCTGGAAAGGTGGAAGCGCTGGCCACTCAGGATAGTTTTTCCCCACCATTGGGAAAGAGAGAAAAACAAGGGAAACCTTTGGATGATTGTGATAACCTATACTAACTGGAACCTTATAAGGGAACTGCTCAGGATGACCTGACCTTGAGGGAGCAGTGGTAGCAGGTGGAGAATGAAGATCACGGTAGGAAAAAAAATGAACAATGAGTAGGAAGGTGAAATGTCACAATCAGAAACCTGAGAAAGAAGGAATGGTGATACACTGTTATGCTACTCATGACAGGCAGCCATAAGGATGGAGCAATGTAATGGATTTGATCAATGCATTGCCAGGCAACATGCAACAGTAGAGGAACCTGTGTTTTCTGTGTCCACAGTGACATCACACAACAGTGGATAGAGACCACGTGACATGTTTCCTGTAAATCCAACCAGTGTGCCAATAGACTGGCTGGATAGCAATCATGTGATATGTGTTTACTGTAAGTCCATGTCTTTTCACGCCTATGTAAGTAAGAGTGACAGAGTTCATTTGAGGCAGTTACGAGGCAGCCATAAGCTTGAGTTCAGGAGAGTTTTTTAGTTGAGTTCTGAGGTTCCATGGTGATTGAAGAAGAAGTGATAAGAAGACTTCATAGTGATTTGAAGTGCTAGTTTCTGTGTTCAGATCCATTGATAGGGGATGACTAGTGGAAACTGAGATTCATAGTGCATGTGCAGCGATGAACCGGAAAGTGAGTAAATCAGCAATAGCGCTGTGTTAATTGTAAATAAGAGAACTTGTAACTGAATTGCTAATAAATCCAATCAGATCTCGAACCCCTCATTTTCATCATGCATACCCCGCTACATGTGACCGTATTATACTGTGTGTTTGTGTTGCTTATATGTCAACCCATGCTCATTGGTTTTCCATGTCGAGTTCTTCATGTAGGCTCAGAGGCTGCTTGTTTATAGATGCCGGGTCACCCCCTACCTGTATGTTGATAATTTTCTCAAACTTGGACCTAAGGGCGATTACTGTTACTTTCATCTTTTCTTAGCCAACATTTATCGTGCCCTACATCTCTTCTTGGCTGGCATTTATTTTGACCTTCACATCTTCTTAGTCAGCACTTTGGCACCCTCCTTGGTGACTTATTGTTTCTTGGCTGGCCAGCAGACATTCCACTGTCTGTCCATTTCCACAGTCCAGCAATCTAACAATCCAGTTCAAGAATCCACTACTTCTGACACTGGTTGTCATGTGATCATGACCAAACTAAATATACATTTTACAAGTATTCATGATTATTTGACAATCTGTTATATATCACGCTTGCTAGCTGTGTGTTCACAGTCATGTTTCTAGGCTATGGCCTGTGATAACTGGTTCTACGTTTGCTCTTGGGCTCTCTGCTGGAATCACCTTTGTTAGCTAATGGCCTCTTATATAGCACCTTGTTGTGGAATGATGAAATACCACCACCCTTGCAGTTCCTTGACTGTTGTGCACATACATCGCCATCAGCGATTGATGCTTGGCATTGCCTAGCAGTGGACACCAGTGCAACATTTCTCTGATCCAAGATTCTCACTTATAGGTGTCATGTCACAGTATTATAAATCCAAAGGGTGGTTCTTCTGTTGTTAATACATTTAATATAACTTCTTGCTTTACCATTATTTATTTAGTTCTTCATATCTGTGTCATCACTTAGAATGCAGGATTCTGCAGTAAATTAGATGAACTCTGATAAGTAGTGGAACACCATATAACTATAAGTCTCTACTTGTTTAATGAAAATTCCTCTATTTATTTGGTTGTAGGAGACTGTAATGATAGATCTTCTGGGTTTGTTGCAGACATGAACATAACCGTGTTCATGTATAACAGCCTCTGATCATTCACTGCTTGTGGAATTATTTTCTGGTGACAGGAGGCCAGCATGGGTATGCTAAGGCATCAGTGCTGAACACTCTAAACACGCTACAGGTTGTGTGTCAGACTTTGTTGGAGAAAGCTGTGAAAATCAAGAAAGACCACAATGAAGTTCATATGTCAAAGCATGCAGTAATACTGTATGTATTACTGGTATTATTGCTTAATTTGGTTGATGTTTGATGCAACAGTTACTAAAATTTATGTAGCAAGAATTTTTTTAATAGGCATAATTTTTAATTTATCTGGAAATTGTCTCTTGAATGACAATGTTAGAAGTTTAATGAGAGATATTTATTGAATAAGCCATTTATATCTGTTTCAGAAATATAATTGTGTGAACATTCAATGTATAGAACTGTTTAAAATACTTCCTACTGGCTCCATTGTAAATGAATTGTATGAATTTAAGGTAAATTTGTTAGAACAAGGATCTCTCTGGACGAGGAAGAGCAGGGACTGGAGTTTGAAAGTGAATTAAGTGGGATGGTGTCAGTATAAGTATCTGTGTCTAGGGTGCTAGTGTTTGTCATTTGAATCATTATAGTTAATTTGACATTTGTGTTAATGTTCCAGACATCTTTGCCACACACATCTGTTCAAATAGCAGCACCAGCTTCCCGTCGTGGCTCAAGGACTTCACGATCAAGTTCTCAGAATTTGATTACTGATACTCAGGAAGTTTTACCTCACATCATCAGCACCGTGGCATCAAAGAAAGTAGAGAAAACTGAATCCCAGCTGCTTAACACCACAACTACATCTGAAGTCCAGAAGGAGCCTTTAGCTAGAGATGTTACAGCAGGCAAACAAATTTCATCTGGTGAAGTATCGAAAATATTAATTGCAAGTGCCAGTTTAGAACAGGAGGCATCATTATTAGCGTGTGCAGAAACGGAATTAGCAAATAAACAAGAAGTGTTATCACTATCACTTTCTGCTTCTAAGGAGTCATCACCTGTAACTGATGTTACAGTTGGACCATTCAAACTAGAGGCAGAGCTTCCAGAATTAGTTTCAGGAACTGCTGTGAAAGCCAAAGATGTAGAAGAAGCTGTTGATCTAGTGAAAGATGCTGTACATAGCGTACTTGAAACGTGTTTACCTACAGATGAAGACGGTATTGTTGTGGTAGAGAGAGTGGGTAGAAGTATAGCATCAGGAACAACTGCATCACTGACTGGTGGTAATGCATTGAATATAGTAGCAGATGGAATTCTTGAGGATGATGATGAGGAGAAGGCAATTGGTGTTTCTCCTGATGGAAGGTTTTTAAAATTTGAGGAAGAGATTGGAAGAGGAAGTTTCAAGACTGTATACCGAGGCCTTGACACACAAACTGGTGTTGCAGTGGCATGGTGTGAGTTGCAGGTAAGGTGGTATGCTGTAAATAGTATTGTCACGTGTTTGAGTGACTAAAGACGGGGTTTGGATTGGTAATTAGATTTATTGACCACTTACAAGTCATAACTACAAATAATTATAACACTGTTACTTATTTTCACACTACAAAGCACCCCACTCTAATCTCTTCATTCTGTCTGCACTAGTCTTCATGGATTTATAACACAGGAACTGTAAAAGTCTTGCTAAATTACACACTCCCAATATCAATGTACTACAGCACATGTAATGTCACACACTTCAAAGTAAAGAAGTAAAGCTAACCCTGTAACAGGCCATGAAGGCCCATACGGTTGTGAGATGTTGAGGGTCCCACATTATCTAGACAGTCGGGGTCAAAGATGGTGGTAAGGTTGTCAGCCTTATACACTGGTCGCACTTTACTCCCCAGGAAAACTATTTAATTAATTCCCGATACTCATTTCTGTTAGAGGCTGAGTTGACCCCAGGCCGTAGTGTGGCTGGAAGGATTAGGTCAATTGAAAAAATCCAATGACCTCATCAGGGTTTGAACACATGACCTTCCAGCTTGTAGCATAGCCCCTCAACCAACTATGCTACCATGAATGTCACACACTTAGTTTTCTAATTCTTTCTCTGGCTTTCATCAGGGAGCCAGGATAGGTTGGTATGTTTGTGGGCTGGATGGTCAAGGAATTCCTGATGGGCAGCTTCTTTTCCAAAGCAATCATGCCAGCTCTGTGGCTCATCCAGTACTAGGGACTGTTTTCCTTGTGGCATAAAGCAATTGTGGCATGAAGTTGACTGCTCATCCCCATATGTCACCAATGTTTAGAATGTGTAGAGCTACACGTCCACCCCCATAAATATTCATGACATAGCACATAATTAATTAATTAAGTGTGATCTTTACCTGTACCCTTCTATTAGTCCTTTTGTTTGTGTGGAAATATGATTTTTAGTCCATTTTGTTTGATGTATGTCCTTGCCCCATGCTGATATAATGGTGACACTGTACTGCAATGTTATCTTCATGTTCTTGTGCCCGATTGATTTGTAGGTTATTTAATAATGCTTTTTCAATTGCATATATTACATGGGATCAAATGGTTTGGAAGACTCTGAATCGTTTGGAAAAGATTTTGGAAGAAAGTGATTGTAGCCTGTTTTAAGGTACCACCATGGGAAGATCCATGAAACCCTGTTTTCATATTTAGTCTCTGGGACAAGATTTGAACCCAGGACCTCCTATATATTAAACAGTTGCCAACAGTAAATTGAATTGTTCAGTACAAACTTATAGCATTGTATTGTAGGTCAGGTGTTAGTTGTATTTCAGAATTGCACTGTTAGCTTCACAGATTTTTTATGATTGAATTGTGCATGAGAGACAAAGGTCAGTGATTGATTTGCACACTAATTTTCTTATAATGTGGAAGCATCCCTTGTTAATATATTACATCTCACCTCTGCAGGAGAAGAAATTGAATAAGACTGAACGGTTGAGATTCCGGGAAGAAGCTGAGATGTTGAAAGGCTTACAACATCCAAATATTGTCCGCTTCTATGACTATTGGGAGGTGACTTTGACAAAGAGGAAGTACATTGTTCTTGTTACTGAACTTATGACATCTGGAACACTCAAAACGTATGTATAAAAATGCCTTGTCTTTAAAGCAATAAATAAGAATAACAGTATATGTGTTCCCATTTAGACCTTAAATATACCTGTATAGTTTTAGCGCAGTTATATTTATTTATGATTTATTTAATAACACTCTTAGCTTCACAGATTGTATAATGTAAAATGATAGGATGTTTGGTGACTAGTGAATTGATAAGGATGTGGGAGGAAACAGTAATAATTTGGATTGAAGTACTATCCCAGCATTTGTCTAGTGAGGCTGAAGAAAACCACGAAGATTCTGACAGGCTAGCCAGTCTGTAAGCTAGATTTGAACTCCAAACATCCTGAATGTGAGGCAGGAGTGCTACCCACTTGACTGTGACATTCGTTTCAATGTATAGTTCTAGGATTGGGCTTAAGTAATAAGACTTACGGTGTGGGATTAAACATTTGTAACCATGTTCAGTACATGTGAAGTTATTTTGACTTTTTGAATGGCCTTAATAATATTAACATTATTTAATTTGGTTCTCTTTCCTTTTCTGATCTATTTAGAGCTACTTTGATTGTTTCTGAAGAAACAAAATTCCATCATTTTGAAATGTTAAAATTATTGGATAAGCTTACATTTCTAATTTGCTGTTTTGATCTGCTGAGATAGTTGAAGATGCAGGAGAATGAGTAAGTGTATATCTTGAATCTATTTCAGGTATCTAAGGAGGTTTAAGAAGATCAATCCAAAGGTTCTGAAGTCATGGTGTCGACAAATCCTGAAAGGTTTAAGTTTTTTGCACTCCAGAACTCCTCCAATTATACATCGTGATCTGAAATGTGATAATATTTTCATTACGGGAACAACGGGCAGTGTCAAGATTGGTGATCTTGGTCTAGCAACTCTTAAAAACAGGTCATTTGCTAAATCTGTTATAGGTGAGTTATATGCTTCATGCTTTTGTCAAGATCTTAGCTTGGATTTTAATTAACATTGTTAGGAGATCTAGTAAGTACCATGGTGTTAAGGTAGGTAATAGTGGTGGTAGAGACAGAGGTGCCTTCATCTTTAATCATGCCATCAGATGGAGGAATGTGGCCAGCTGCTCAGCTAACAGTGCATTTTTGTTTACATCGATTTTTTTTTGGTTCTGAGTACAGCATGTGGTAAATACATTTTGTATTTTGATACTGCTAAATTTTGTTAGGGGAGCACAATACCATAGTTGGCTGAGCCATTATGCTACAAGCTGGAAGGTCACGGGTTTGATTCCCAGTGAGGTCACTGGATTTTTCAGTTGACCTAATCTTTCCAGCCGCACTATGGCCCTGGGGTTGACAAGGCCTCTTAACAGAAATGAGTACCAGGAATCTTCTGGGGCAAGGGGAGACCATCACATAAGTCTGATAATCTCACTGCCATCTGTGAGTCAGTTGTGTAGAAAATGTGGGAACCTCGACGTGTCACAACCTTATGGGTCTCCATGGCCTGTTACAGGGATAGCTGTACTTTTTTTTTTTTTTTGAGAAAAAAAAATTATAGGAATAATACATGGTTGAAAATTTGGTTAGTATTCATCCATGAAATGATGACTTTGTATGTAACTTAAATATAATGTAAGAAAGACAAAATTAACATGTGACGAACAGGTAATGAATGCACTTTATTATACGGGTGTTACACACCATATTGGCCAGACTTCAGGAGCATGTTCTGTAGGTCATTTAGAGCAAAAAATATCCAATAAACTGTAGGTAGATCAACACCGTTATTGAGTTAAGTGCTAATGGAGCAAGCAGGAACTACATTTACAAATGAAGAATATGCCAATATGCATTTGATATACAGTTTCTGCAATGGAAATGGTAAGGCTACTGTGGTGGAATACTAGCAATAATATCCACACTGCAGAATTCCACATCATGAAACATTTGAGAATGTACACAGAACTTTGAGAGCACGGGTTCCTTCCCACGAGTGAATGCCAAATGTGAATAGAGATGGCATGATGAAGATGAAATGGCAGCAGTGCAGGGAAGCCTAAGCATATAATGTTTAAAAATTTTCTTAATACCTATTTAATAATATTTAATAATAGTTTTCCTTATAAAAAACATTTCTCTAAACAAGAAAATAAAACCTGGTTAACAACTGGAATCAAAACATCATGTGCACGTAAAAGAGAATTATATGTGCTTAGCAGAAATACTGACAATCCTGAATTAGTAAGATACTACAAGAAATATTGTAAAATTTTATCTGATATCATGAAGTTATCAAAGAAGCATCATTATAGTAGGCTTATTATAAATTCTAAAAATAAAATTGAAACTACTTGGGGTATTATTAGATCTATAACTAATACCAAGTCAAGCAAAAATATAATATCATCAGTAAGTATTGATGGGAAATCATATAATAAACCACAAACTATGGCCAATATTTTTAATAATTATTTTATAATGCCACCAAATCAATGCAATCTAACAAACCTACTAATGTATCTAACTTCTTAAGTTACCTTTTTGAGGTGTATAAACAGGCGTTTCCAAACATAAATATGACCCCAGTAACTAAAAGAGAAATTAGAGATACAATCAAGTCATTAAAATGGAAGAATTCTAAGGGATGTGATGAGATTCCACAAAACATCCTAAAAATAAGTATGCCCTTTATTTTATCCCCATTAGTTTACATATGCAGTAAATCATTGAATTTAAGTATATTTCCTACTCAATTAAAATATTCACAGATAAGTCCTATTTATAAAATATTTGTTATATTTATAATTTATTGTTCGTGCATGTTAGATGTTTTTATAGTTTTTCTTTTGATATGTGTGTGATGTAACATACATTATTTGATATTGTATTGTTTATTGATAATATCCATTCATATGCATTGTTTTTATAAACTGGATGAATTTTGTAAGATAAAGGGTTACTATGTTTTCATCTAGTATTTAAGTCTTGTTAGTGACATTTGTTTTGATTTTTGNATGTTACCAGCACAAGGAATTTGCACTTTTGGGCACACAAAACCCCATGAGGTAGCAGAATTTCATTTTTAACTCTGATTTTCAGTTAATGTGTGGTCTGGAGTGTTAACGCAATGACCCGATTGGTCTACATGTTATCACGAGATGTTTCAGAGCTCTGTATTATAGGAATTTTCTGGTAAATTAATTATTTATGTTTTTTGTTATGAATTTTAATATTTTATAATGTAACTGTTTGGATGATAAGGCTTGCCACCGTGTGTGGAACGGCAAGGTGTGAATTTGATTGTGGTATTTTGATGACCTATGTGTGTTGTCCTGACAACTTGAGCTATTTTGTCTCAGGCTTGATTTTATATTTTATTGGACCAAGGACGAATGATGTGTAGTCATCATGAATTTGTAATATGTGACATATTTTATATGCAGCCCTATGGGGAGATGATTGGGTCCATGAAATGATAAATAAATGTAAATGTAATCATCTTACCAATCAGAGCTGTATAGTATGAAATACTGGTGGTATCATAAAATAACCTACAAGAAATAAAAGAAGTTTTGTACCGAGATTGGTTCTGTGCTTAACACAACTTATAAATTTTGCAACAAAAATGTAATTCTGGTAAATGACATAAACATAGTGCATTTTGCTGATTTGTATCCATTCTTTGAAATTTAATTGTATGAACTGTTGTCCACTTCATATGATATATTATTTCCAGGAACTCCAGAATTCATGGCTCCAGAGATGTATGAAGAGCATTATGATGAGAGCGTGGATGTTTATGCATTTGGGATGTGCATGTTGGAGATGGCCACTTCTGAGTATCCATACTCAGAATGCACAGGACCTGCCCAAATTTACAAAAAAGTTATCAGTGTAAGTTATACAGAAATCCGTAGATTCAGTATTTTGTTCTCTTTATAAGAGGTGGCCATGTTTTTCATGTGTCCCTACTATGGTTAAAGTGACTAAGTAGATATATCCTGATTTTTTTCACAGTATTTTTTATATGAAATAAGGGTGTCACAGCTACATGGTTTCACTCTAATAATGAAAGTGATCATGTAAGAAAGAAAGTTTAGCAGCAGTATTAATCTTCTGCAAGACTTCCAAATTCTTCCACTTACAACTTCCATTGCTCTTACCCACCTTGAATTGAACATGTCCTGACCTCTGTTACTTCTGAATCCTTGGCATATTGAGGGTTCAAGCAATCACAGTGATGGTGCTGTTTGGAAGGGTTGGTAGCTGCATGATGGAGCTACTTCGGGTAAGTAATTGGCTATTAAAGGAGCAGGTGCAATATTTATATGATTTCTTTCCGCCATTATCAGAAGTGGAACACATTCCTGCATGCTATGTACCTATTGATAGTTATGTATTGTGAAGGCCAAGCCTAGATGATCTTCAGTTGTTGCTATATAATATGTGTGGTTGAAGAAACACTGCTATAAAGCCAAGAATCAGACACATATCATCATCATTTATTTACATTCTATTTTCTGTAAGGGGTATATTATAAAATTAAAATGCTACCTGTATAGTAATTTTTTTTTCTTTTTGTTTTAAATTTTCTTGGTGCTTTAAGAGCATGTACTAATGAATGACGGACAGTGGTGTTCCATCATTTACCTTTTTTACACATAAATCACCATTTATGTTTTCTTTTTTCAGGGAGTAAAACCCTTGAGCTATGAGAAAGTGGAAAACCCAGAAATTAAAGACATTATTGAACATTGTATAAGGCCTAGGAAAGAGGACAGGTAAGAAACTTATGTGGGCTCTGTTGAAACTGGAAGATTAATCTGAAATGGACAGTGCCAGAATGGACAGTTTGGCTTAATATATAGGAGATGCAAGTTCAATAGTTCACATGTAACAGTACTGAATTTGTATTATCTAGCATGCCAGACTTACATCTCTTGCTCACAGGCCTGGCGTAAAGGACCTGTTAATCCATGAGTTCTTTGCCGAGGATCTTGGGCTGAGGTTAGAGATTATATCACGAGAAGAGGCAGTAGCATCCGCAACATCCAAGGTGGAGTTCAGGCTTCGAGTATTAGACCCCAAAAAGCGCAGCAACAAGCACAAAGAAAATGAAGCCATTCAGTTTGAATTTGACATTCAGGCAGATAATGCAGAAGAAGTAGCTAGTGAAATGGCAAGTATAAAATTTCAGTATATTCTTCTATAGTACTGTAATACTGTATATTAAAATATGGCACAGTTCAGATATTTGGGAACAATGATAACAGATTGAAACCTGATTCAGGAGGAAATTAAGAGGAGATTGAACTCGGATAATGCTTGCTACCATTCAGTCCAGAACCTTTTGTCTTCTCGTCTGCTGTCCAAAAACATAAAAATTAGAATACACACAACTATAATTTTGCCTGTGGTTCTGTATGAGTGTGAAACTTGGTCTCTGACATTAAGGGAGGAACATAGACTGAGGGTGTTTGAGAACAGGGTGTTGAGAATATTTGGACCGAAAAGAGATGAAGTGACAGGAGCTTGGAGAAAACTGCATAATGAGGAGCTTCATAACTTGCACTCTTCTCCAAGTATAATTAGAATGATCAAATCAAGGAGGATGAGGTGGGCAGGTCATGTAGCACGAATGGGGGAGACGAATGCGCATAGGATATTGATGTGAAAGTCAGAAGGAAAGCGACCACAGGGAAGACAAAGGCGTAGGTGGGTGGACAATATTTTAATGGATCTTAGAGAGATGTGGTGGGATGATATGGATTGGATAGATCTAGCTCAGGATAGGGACCAGTGGAGGGCTCATGTGAACATGGTAATGACCCTCTGGGTTCCATAAAATGCTGGGAAATTCTTGAGTAGCTGCTGAATTGGCAGCTCCTCCAGAAGGGCTCAGCTCCATGAGTAAGTAAGTAAGTAAGTAAGTACTGTAATATTGTATATTAAGTGTTCAGTTGCAATGTAATGTTACAAGTATTAAGAAGTGTTTAGTATGTGAAGACTTCTTCTTGCCATTTGTTAGATGTTCAAACAAGTATGTTATCAACCATAGAATATTTTGTGAATACAGCTTATAAAAGTATATATAAAAATATACTAGTTGATCAGCTTTTTGTTTAATTTAGTCATACATCTTACAGTGGGCTGTAATCAATGGGAATTTTTCAGCATATGGTCTCAATTCCTTATCACTAGCTTAATGCTATCAGAAAGTTCCTGGACTAGGTCAGAAAAGAAATGCTGGCTTGACTTACTCAATTTTGGCTGCTGTCTCCTTCAGAATAGTCTCCTTGGGAATGTATACAGTGATCCCATTTTTTTTCCCCCCGCCCACATTTCAGAAACACCATGGAAGTCATTTTTCTTAATGCTGTCTCGTATTGCTTGCGATTCCCTTTGGATGTCAGACATTGTTTCAAAACATCGTTCCTTCATTTTCATTTTCAATTTGGAAACAGCAGAATCACAGGGGACTAACTCTGGCGCATAGGGAGGATGGGGAATGATACCCTGTGGTTTTCAGGGACATGTGGGTGGGTATGTTGTTGTGATGAAGCAGCCAGTTGTTGTTGAGCCAAAGTTCAAGTCTTTTTCATCACCCATTTTCTTTCAAGCATCTCAAAACATCACAATATGAGTAAAAGTCAGAGTTGACTGTAGTGTTAGGAGGAATAAATTCACGGAGAACAATCCCCTTCATGTCGAAAAACAATGAGCATGCTACTAAATATTTGTTGAACTCCAAACCTGCCGTCTGTTTTTTGCTCTTGGTGATTGTGGGCTCTTCTGCTGTGACAGTTGTTTTGTTTCTGGATCATAACCATACAAATAAATCCAACTTTTGTCACATGTTATGATGCTAGAGATAAAAGTTGTGTCCTTGTTAGCCTTCTCTCATAGCTCAAGATGCACGTTTACGTGCGGCTTCTTTTGATCATTTGTCAAAAGTCGAGGAACAAACTTCATGGCAGTGCAGCGCAGTGCAATGCATGTTCAGATTTTTGTTAAGATCTCCTAGCAAACTCCATGGATTATTCAGTGACAGTCTTCGTGGATGAGTTCATGAATTTCTTCAACATTTTCTGTTGTTTTGCTGGTGATTGGTCGCCCTAAATATTTGTCATCTTCAACTGACATTTGACCATTCTTCAAACATGAATGCCATTCAAAAACCACTGTCCGGCTTAAAGAATGTTCTCCAAATTCCTCACGAAGCATTTCAGGGGTTTTGGTAGCAGATTTACCGAGCTTCATGCAAAACTTGATGCAGACATGTTGCTCAATTTTTCCATCCATCGCAGACAAAATGAAATGTGAAGTCGGAAAAGCACTCGAGTAAAAACAGTGTGTGTTCACAGTGCAGTGTCACATAGCAGACTGATGCAGTAGGCTTGTGGAAGTGTGACCTTGGCTCTCCCTTTCATCTTCTTTCACTGAGTCAGTTACAACAATAACAGTCAGGGTACTTACTGATAGTACCTTGTATATGAGGTGGGTTGTACATTAACCCTTTGGCGCGGTCATTTAAATTCCGCGGCCGCGTCTCCGGCGGTAATATATTCAGCCGGCCATTTAAATTTGGCTCGAAAATGATTTATTCATCATTGTTCTTAAATTCTATGAGATAGGAACATGAAACTTTCACTAAAATGATCTTAAAAGGTGGTTTTATAACCTTACCTTATAATATGAGCGCCCTGTATCTCGGCAATGGAATCAGGTTGTTTAGTATTTGAGCAGTGAATGGTACGCCTTGAAGCATGAAACTTTCACTAAAATGATCTTAAAAGATGGTTTTTATAACCTTACCTTATAATATGAGCGCCCGGTATCTCGGCAGTGGAAGCAGTTGGTTTAGAATTTGAGCAGTGTAATGTAGGCCTTGAAGCATTCGTCTAGCCCAACGCTGCCCCACATTCACCGCTCCAATATTGTGTATCTTTTCTTTGGCTCTTTTTTTTAACCACACATCTTCTGTGCGGCCTTGCCTTCTTCCCCGTGAGGGGTATACGTTCAAGGAAATGNAAAAAAATATTTATGGTCATCCCTCGAAACGACCACCAAGGTCAGTACGATAAAATGGCGTCAACTGGAGCGATAATACATGAAGGAATGAGTTCTTTTCCCACCCCACACACACCAGTATCGTCATAGGGGGTGACCATAGTGTTCTGCTTTAATTCGTGGCGTTTTTCTAAGAACTGGTGCTATGTACTGTGCGAAATCAATCGATTATGCAAGAATAAATTTTTGGACATCCCTCTTTTAAGAATTACAATTGAGTGTGTTAGTGTGGCCAGCTCAGGGCAATATGATATTATAAACACAGCACATATCAGTCTCTGCTGTTTATAACTTAAGAAAACACGCCATTCATAACAGATTGAAGACAAACCTCTCCCAAGAGCAACAGGAATTTTGCTGCAAGACAGGCATATGTAACGATGACTTAGCGCAGCTAAACAAATGCCTCATTATATATAGTACTTGTGACAACAGGCCAGCGAAAAATCTAACAATCTACAGCAAAACCATCAATTATTATGGGCGTCGAACCCCCCCAGACGATTTAAATACCTGACGAAACATACACGTCAAACCACGCTGAACGGTTAAGTTATGTGCCCCCCATCCACTCATCATTGGAAGTAAATGGAACCTTGTCCTATAGATGCTTCAACCGCATTAGCAGAGTGCAGTCCAAACACAATATCAAAGACTGTATGGCCTTGAAATTTAAGTCCCCGGTTTCATTTTGAATGTTAAGAATGATCTAGGTTTTTGTGTTTATGTAGCATACTCTGGGAGCATGGGACTGTATGAATGGGGCAGCTGTAGGACCAATGTCGAGGAATGTCTTCATATCTGTCTCTGTAGTCTAGAAAATCCAGCTGTTGCAGGACTTTGTGTAAACCTGTAGTAAAATAAAATGCTGAAACATGTAACCTTACAAAGAAAAACAAGCAGAATTTATGTCCATGATTTATTCCAGCTGTCTTACAGTGCATACACTCATCCACTTCACTCTTCACTCCTGCACCACATGTTTCGGCACAAAGGTGCCATCTTTACGTTAAACTACTTCACTGCATGCCTTGCTGTTTTCATACTAAAATAACTAACACACGCAGTCACAGGAGCAAGACACAACACAAAGAACAATACACACACGAAAGTAGGAAGAGTGCTCCGATAGAAGAGGATAGGTGTGACTCGCGTATTGAGATGCGACGTAGGGATAAAAAATCCTGAACAGTTTTAATATTTTTAATATTTAATATTTATCAATATATATGATGAACATATATTTTAGTTATTTTAGTATGAAAACAGCAAGGCATGCAGTGAAGTAGTTTAACGTAAATCGAAAAGCACCTGAAGATGGCACTTTTGTGCCGAAACATGTAGTGCAGGAGTGAAGAGTGAAGTGGATGAGTGTATGCACTGTAAGCTGGCTGGAATAAATCATGGACATAAATCAGTGCAACAGGATGCTAAAATATAACATTAAGTAGAATTTAAATAAAGGATATACCATTTTATACCATTTTTATGAAAAAAGAGCATGTACTGACGCCTGAAACCTTTGAGAGTTTTATACAGGTGGAGTTTTGTTGTATATACGGCTGATATGTTCTTTTTTTATTTTGTTTTATATTATGAATGCCTTGACTTGTTCCTGTGGGAATGGAATGTTTGTTTTTTGATCTGAGACTCATTCTATATCCAATGGTTGTTTCCCAGCCTGTATCTGGATCTTTAGGGAACAGCAAGATGAGATAGCCAAAGCTGCATAGGCTGAAGGGACCAAAGGGATAGAATTTAATATGAATTTGTAGAGTAAGAGTTGGAATTGAAAATATTGTAATGGATACAGAAGAGAAGTGAGTTCAGTGATTTGGCCATGTTAAAAAAGGGTGGAATAAGGGTGCCTAGAATAGTTCAGAATTAAAGTATAAATGAAAGAGGCCTGTGGAACAACCCAGAACAAAGTGGTTCAGCCCGAGGAAGGAGCTGGGGAGAAAGAACTGATTGGAGACTTTTTTGTCCAGCAACCTATGCAGAACAGATACAGAGCTAGCAGAAGAAGAAAAATATTGGCTGGACTGGTAATGCAGGTTTCTTCCCTCCTTCCTTTCTATATGAAAGAATTTGTAAAATATCAAATGCAAATAATTAGATTCAGATAATAGTTTTAAGAATCTGCAAAATTCCTTTTAATACTACTTTCATACAATCACTCCTCATTACAGGCAAAGTCTGCACTAATAATGGAAGATGATGCTCGAGCTGTTGCCAAGATGCTCAAAAATAGCATTTCAACTTTAACAAAAGAGAGGGAGGAGCGGAAACAGCTGGAACGTGAGGTTGATGGTGTAGCAGGTATGTTAATTACAAATGTAGCATTACTAGGTAGGTGAGGTTTTGGATCTTACATCAGGTCAGGCATACAGCTGTAATCAGATTATGTAATATTATTAATTAATGTTCTGTTGCATAAACTACTTACAGGCTACAGCATATTTTTGGGAAATAGTTCAAGTTCATGATAGAAATTGCCCCTTATTATGAAAAGAGTATGATTAATCCTTATGTGTCCCTCATAAAGCAACATTGACATTTTTATTGTTGCATATTAAGTGTAAATGAATTGTGAGTAAATAGTTAGTATTTATGTAGCAAAATTAAAGAACTTGGGAAAGATGCAACAGGTGAGAATGATACACATGATGACACTAAGGGAATATTAAATTCAAAAGTTGATTGCTTTCACACCACCCATAAATTTTGAAGTCAGTTTTGTTTCAGTTGTTACTTCACAGCAATGCCACTTCCCACTCACTGCGCCCACCTTATTTCTGCACTGCACAGAACTGAGCTGAAAACTTATGATTTACTAACCAACTAGGTGACAGACTCACCAACTTGCTGACTCATTAACAGATTGTGCTGACTAGCTGTTCATTCACTGACTAAAGACTTACTTGTGTGCTGTGTGCTGCACTGAACTCACTAACTTCTTGCGTGCCCTGAACTGCATTGAACTGAACTGGACTCTTGTAAGAATTTGATAGCTTCTGTTATAGGCCTTTATGCTTAAGGAAGTTTCTGTTAAGTTCTTGATGCTTTGGCATCAGCTGAGTGGGTTTTTGAATGCTCCAGATGTTGTAAGAGGCAAGAACAGGCTAGGCCAAGCAGTCCCCCTGCCCTTTACTCCCACAGCACTGCCCCTTCTCAGGCTGCTTGTCCTGAATTGCCCATAGATATGCTGCCAGTCAAAGTGTAACACCAACATCTTTGCCTTATGGTACTGTTGCATTCTTTAAACTCTTATCACTGATCTCCGTCTCAATCTGTAAGGGCCTTCACAGGATGGCTGTTGCTTAAGCAACTTTCCTCTGGTCTAGGTTAAGTGGTACAACCAGACTTAAACCTCCTTCCTGGAATCCTATGGAGTTGGCTAGGCAGCAACAGAATGCTTTCATCCTTGTCTGTAGCCACATTCAGTTGTTGAGGGCATACTGATGGGTGTCATTCAGCTGTTCCACAAGGTCCTTCATGTAGCAGGTCATGGACTACTCCCTGCTGTAGGTAGTCCCAGACAGCGGGTTGCAGGGCAGATGTAGCTCATCCAACTCCTGGTCTTGTTAGCCCACATTCATAACTCGTGACAGGTACTTTCTCTCAACCTTGAACCAGTGTTCTGGCTGTATAGAGATCCTCTTGGTGTAACATTTTTTGACATGGTTCCACTGGGCTACTCACTGTTTCCAGGAGATCTTAACAGCCTCTCACGTCAAGCAGGCCAGCATAAGGAGGAGTGATTGCAGCTGAGCACCTTAGTTAGTTATTTAGTTAGTTATTTAAAGAGGGTGGGTTTCCCCATCCACCGCGACCAGTTTGATCTATTGTGCTTCCCTCTATGATATTCTACCAGTCTCTATACCCTACCGATAAATGGGGCGTACCATCAGTCCCGCCGAGCAAGCGAGTTCGGCCACTTGCTTAGCGGTATCTATAATGCTTCCCCTATCTATCAGAGGCCTTAGAGAGTATTGTTGGGCAGGAAACATCCTGGAATTTGGCTCTGTGATCCCCTTTGGGGATATGAGGTTCTTTTACGTGCCGTAAAGTTATGACATGGGACACACAGCTTAAAGTCCCTCCTGGAGGACTTGTTCCCTGAATTTTTCCGCCCTTAAAAATTCAATGATCTCCACCGGGTATTTGAACCCGCGTACCACGAGTCATGAGGTGGGAATGTTACCTCTAGACTACGGAGGCCGCTTAGCTGAGCACCTTACTTATGCGTCTTCTGGGCCCAGTTGTAACATTTGGTGCTTCAAATCCAGTATTGTGTCATAAGCTTACAATATATTCACCCTCATGTTGAACTTGTGTGTGATTTTTATGATGAACGCCCAACATTATAGCATGCTGCGCCTCAGAATCAGTTCCACCAGCATCCCTTTAAGACAGGGAGTGTCTGCCTGGATACTCTCTGCAGAAGGTATGGCCAGTGCAGCTTTCCATTGAGAAATTCTGAGATGCTATCAGGCCTAGCAATGGCAATGGATACCTCAGCATTGATGGCCACAAGGTGTGGCTGGTCCCCTGTCCAGCCCTTGTCAGTTATGCTGTCATTGCTCCTCTTGGCCAGTACATTGAGTTTGGATCAAGGGGATTAGTGTGATGACATCAGTGCCCTCATGTTCAACCTGCTCTTACTGGTTTCCCCATATACTGGTTGGTGTCCTTATGTCTCTGTCCATAGCCTTTGTAGATGGCCAGTGTGCGGGTTGTCCAGGCCTACAGTGTTACACCATGTTCCCATGGTGCCTCCCGCCCTTGCTTCCTGCAGCTTGACTGGTGGTCCAGCCACCACCTTTGCAACCTCTAACTTCAGGGCCTGGCTGAGGGCTTTGTTGAGTGACCTGTCATGGTGCTTGAGGATATGTTATTTCATTTCCTGGCTGTTCACTCCATCAACGGATATAGAAGCTGCCTGTCTCTGAAGTCCTGTGGTAACTTGATAAGGTCTTAGTGGGACAGTTGATGGATGGGTGCTGCAGATTCTTGTAGAAATTTGCTGCTGAGCTGGGTCTTGGCTTTGAGCTGAGACTGGTATGTTGCCTCCAGCTTGTGGTCTCCATAGCGACCCTCCAGCACCCTGCTGATGTTCTTGTATGTCTGTCTGGCTGGGATACAATAGGATGTCAGCAGCTTCCACCTGCAGAGTGACAAGTAGATGTCTAGCCTTCTCCCTGGTTTCCCAGTCATTGTGATCAGCTGTGGCCTAGAAATGCTGTTCAGAACATGGACCTATTAAATGTAGCTGCCTTCACCATGATGGTGCTGGTCCCAGTTTTTCCATCACCTCCGTGTCTTATTTGGGCTTTGGTTGCTGTCATCTGTGTCTCATGTTTCTTATTTGACTTAAAGTCACGTCAGGTTACCTTCTGTATCTTGTTGTGTCATCTACAGCTCCCTACTGGGCTCACAAAGAATCTGGGTGTGCCAGTTGACGACTACCATGAGGCTCTTGAAATGATTGTTTAGTTTGTCTAATTTTTTATTGCATTTTCTCTGGACAACCCTGATAATAGTTATTTCTTGTCTGAGTTGTTTCTGTTTGGCACTCATGTCCCTTTTTAGTGCTTGGCTGGCCACCAGTTTGTTCTGGCAGTCTGCCAGTTGATCTTGACCCATCACCAATTGGTTGTAGCCAGATGCCAGTAGTCTTGGTTGGCACTTATGTCTTTTTGAGCTCTTCTTGGGTAGCACTTATGTCCTTTTCGAGCTCTTTTTACTTCTCCAAAACTGCTTTCAGTGCTGGATCCATCTTTGATCCATCTTTTGCAATTGACTTTAACTTTACAATTCCGAGCAGTTACTGTCACATCATCGACAGCTTACGCTCTTGAGGTATGTTCTGTTTTTGGTTGTTACTGCACAGGAGTGCCAGTGTTCACTCACTTCACTTTCCTCTTTTTTGACTTCTCTGCACTGCACTAAACTGAGCTCAAAGCTGACTAATTTAACGGTTGACTGACTAACTTGCTAATGGATTACACTGGCTAACTGAGCACCGATTGACTTCTCTGCACTGCAATGAACTGAACTGAATTGAACTGAAATTAACTGAGCTGAGCTGAACTAGGCTATTGCAAGAATTTTACAGCCATTGTTAGAAGTGTCTCACCATTCAGTGGAGAAGTTCTTTTGTGACCTTGGCCTTTGGCATCAGCTGAGCAGTGTCTTGAAGAATTCAGAAATCACAAAAGGCACACACAGGCCAAGCATCATGGTTCCCCCATGCTTAAATCCTGCAGCAATATAAGTTGCATAATCAGCTACCACATCTTGAACAAAATCAGAACTAGATTTGAGTCACAGTGCTGTAAAAGTATTTCCTTTATGAGATACAGTTGGGGCACGCAGTAGCGTGGTTGGTTAAGGCACTATGCTACAAGCCGGAAGGTCGTGGGTTCAAAGCCCCAAAGAGGTCATTGGATTGTTTTGAAGCGACCTAATCCTTCCAGCCGCACTATGGCCCTGGGGTCAACTCAGCCTCTAACAGAAATGAGTACCAGGAATATTCTTGGGGGCAAAGGGTGGCTGGTGTGTAGGGCTGACAACCTTGCCGCCATCTATGAGCCGATTGTCTAGAAAATGTGGGAACCTCAACATCTCACAACCCTATGGAACTCCACGGCCTGATACAGGGATGCCTTTACTTACTTTTACTTTTTATGAGATACAGTTCTGTTTTTCATGAGCTCATTGTTCGTGGCTTCTAAATCTGTACATACCATAAATTTATCATTTCTTTCCTGTGCATTTCATTATTTAAAACTGATATAACCTTTGAAATTTAAACTTTCATGGGCTTGATTTTAAGCATCCAATGAGTTAAACTTTTTCTTGTAAGTTTAACTCATTGGATCCATTAGGACTCATTTTTTTAAATTTTGCCCTGCAATACCATCTGTTGGCGAGTTGTGGTGTTAAGATTCTTGAAGTTTCAGCTGTGACATACGAAATGATGAAAAGTGTACGTTAGTGATTGTTGAGTCACTCAGATATTTTTCAATGGTATGCTTTATTTCGTGATGGCAGGGAGGACATTGAAGACGCTCCACGTGCATCAACACAGAGAACAAGTCACACTGAAGAAAATGTGAAAAAAGTGACGGAAATCCTTGCATCAGACAGATGTGTTTCTGCAAAACTCATCGAGGAGCTTTTGGGAATACCAAAAAGTACTGTGCATCAAATTTTGACCAAGGATTTGGGCAAACAGAAGGTCTGTGTACGGTTTGTACCACACACGCTGTCAGACGATGAGAAACATGCCAGAGTGGAACACTGCAAAGACATGTTTCGGTCGGCCCAAAGTGATACAAAACTTACAAAATTGATTGTTACTGGTGACAAGACATGGTGTTTTCAATATGAGCCTCTCACAAAGCAGCAGAGTGCAGCGTGGTTGAGCCCAAAGAAAGTGCACATGCAAAGGAGTCGAGTAAAGACACTGCTAACCGTTTTCTTCAATTCCAAAGGAACCATTCACAAGGAATTTCTGTCAGAAGGTCAAACAGTGAATTCTGATTATTATCTTGAGTCCTCAATTGTTTGTGGGCGAGAATTCTTCGAATTCGACTTGAATATCGAGAGCAAGGTTCCTGGTCGCTCCTCCACGACAATGTCCCACCCCACAAATCGAAGATCGTGCACGACTTTTTGGGGAAAAGGGATCACAGTCCTTGAGCATCCTCCGTATTCACCAGATTTGGCTCAGCAGATTTCTGGTTTTTCCCAAAAGTTAAGTTGGCGATGAAAGGACACTGTCACGACACCATCCAGGACATCCAAAGGGAATGTACCACAGTTTTAAATGCGATTCCACAAAAGGAGTACAGTGACTGTTTTTGAAAACTTTTCAATCGATTCCAGCTATGTATTGATTCAGAAGGAGACTATTTTGAATAAAAAGAGTGAAATTTTGAAAATAATTCATGCCTTATATTTTTAAGGAACACAGTCCTAACAGAACCTGGTCACACTGTGTATGCTGTACTCTTAATGAGAAGAGGTTCCCTTTACAAACTTTTGTTACTGACTATACCATGTATGTAATCACCAGTAAGATCTAAAATTTCATCATGATGATATTAATACATTTATTGACTTTGTGGGCATTATCCATCATGCAGAGATAGAGTCTGACTGTTGATTGAGCCCAATTGAGTAGGCCTATTGCCTGAGGACAAAAGCAGAATTCAGTCTTTGAAATGTTTTAAATAAAAAAACAGGACAATTGGTATTGTCCAAAAAGTCACTAGATTATATAATGTGTTAGCTGTTTTGCCAGAGGCATGAACATGCCTTGGGTTAAGTATATCAGTCACTAGATGAAGTCCAGAAACTTGGCCAACAAGAAAAAGCTTTTTTTTTTTTTTGATCCAGTGACCAATTACCATATCAATTTGTTAGCTGGATCTTTGACAGGTGTTTCTAGAGCTACAATGTCTTAACAGAGATGGTGGTGTTTATGTAATGCTAATAAATCATGTAAACGGATTGCGACTATTAAATAGGGGTAATTAAAGTATTGCTTTGGCTAGCAAAAGACAGTTGTCAGTCAAACTAAGTTTGGAGGGGGAATTGCTAAAAAGTATGAAGAGCTTGGTGTGCTAAGAAGGACATTTCACTTTATACTGGAATTTTAAAATGCAGTGTTTTCAGTGTGGCCAGTACTACTGTGAACTCATGTCATTATTTGGACTTCCAGACTTTGTGGGACATGGGTCTGTATTTGACTGACATAGTGGCACCATATACACATCTGACTTTAATGACTGACTACACTCTATAGAGGAGCCGTGGTTTCACCGGGCTCAGTTTTGTAAGAAAAATATATCAAGTTTTAAGTCTGTATATTATACAGGATTAAAATGAAACTTACACACAGGCTGTCGGTAGTGTGATTCCTTGTTAAAAATCAAGTCAGAAATATTGTACAACATATTTCCTGTGACATTCAGTTTTCAAGGTATATGTCAGCGTCAAATGGCACAAGCTCTCAAGTTATCAAACCATGGGTATGTCATATTTATAATGGGCAGTTGAAGCAGTCTCCATCCATTTCAAGGCAGACATCAGTCCACCGAATGCCGGTCTCTTGAATACACCTTAGCATGTTGTCATTTACCATTGTCACAGTTGCCTGAAGTCTTGCCACGAGATCTTTGATAGGTCTGGGAGGAACTGCATATATGAGCTCCTTCAGGTGTCCCCATGGGAAAGAATACATTGGAGTTAGATCCACTGACCAAGAAGACCATGCAATTGGCCCTTGACATCTGGTCCACCTTCCTGGTTATTTTGTATTGAACCATTGCTAGACATTGTCCCTTTATAGCACTGGTGTTCCATAGTGCTGAAACTGCAACCTCTGCCTCATAGCTGAAAGGCCACTGTCAAGCGCCCCTGGCTGGTTTCCAGAGAATCACAGTATTTTTGAACAGTCAGCCCTTTCAGATAGCAGATAGCAGCCTGTAATAGTGTCCTTGACAATTCCAACCCAAACACTGATGCTGAAACAGACTTGATACTCACTTTCATGGATAGCATGAGGAGTATCCCATGCCCAGAGGTGACTGTTGTGGGTGTTACATGCCCCTCACATGGAAAACATGCTTTGTCTGTACACAGATGTTACAAAAAAGGGTTCCTTCAGAGTGTGTTGATGTCACAGCCATTTGCAAAATTGCATCCAAAGGGGATGATCATCTGAAAACAGATGTGCCCTCTAGTGAGTAGTAGTATGGATGCAATTGATTGTTATGAAATGCTCTAAGGAACCTTGGTTCGCATAAGCCCAGTTCTCATTTATTATCAAATGAGCTTTTCTACAGCTGTCATTGTGCAGCTGCATTTATGGCATGTTCATTAGCTGGTGTCCGTACAGTTCATGGGTGACCTGCATCCATGTGTGCCATAGGTGTTCTTCCTGTCTCATGATGATGCTGCTCAAATCATAGAACCACATTAGCATCAGGATGTCAACCAGGATAACATAGCGTGTATTCCCATGCAGCAGTACCAGCCTATTACAGGTACCAAGGATTAAGAGCATGTCACAGTATTTGTTATGTGTGTATTTCAAGATCAGTGGATCACAGCTGACCTTTCCAGTGTACTGTGTGTCTTGAGTACACCCAGCAGTATGCTGTTTATTGTCTTAACAAGTAACACTGTTTGAGAAGTATGTTACTCCAGTTGACAGTGAAGTGTATCTCAAAAACTAAGGATCATGTATCATATATTGTGTAACATTTTCTGCTTATTTTCTAACAAGGAATCACACTATAGTGAGCTTGTGTACAAATTTCATTTCTTCCTTTATGTACCAGCATACCAACCTTATTAATGGATTGCTGTATGATTTCGTAATTGTTACTGCCTTATTTCAGAGGTATCTCCAGACTCAGGTCATAGTACCCAGAACAAACCAGAGAGCACACTGGTAACAGGGCAACCTGGCTACATACAACAGCAGCAAGTGCCACCACATCAGGTTCCATCACAGCAAGTGCCATCACAACAGGTTCTAGTAGAGTTCATCCTCCCAAGTCATCTTTTCATTCCCCACTGTAAAACAATCCAATACATACTACGTGGTGCTATCCAAAAGTTCCCGAAATATATTAATAGAAACTATTACGTCTTACCTGGATCTTATTCTGCATCATCACCTTCAAAGTAGTCCCCTTGGGAGCGCATACACCGATCCCAACGTTTCTGCCATTTTTGAAATACATCCTGGAAGTCTTTCTTTGTTAGGGTGTTTAGTACTGCCTGCGTTTCCGCTTGAATTTCCTCAACTGTATCAACTCTTTGCCCCTTCAACTTGATTTTCATCTTGGGGAAGAGAAAGAAGTCGCAAGGAGCTAAGTCTGGCAAGTACACTGGGTGGGGAACAACTGCCATCTTGTTTTTAACCAAAAATTCCTGCACAATGTAAGCCATATGCTTTCGTGCATTGTCATGGTGGAATACCCAGTCATTCGTGTGCCACTTCTCTGGACTTTCTCTCCTCATGTCCTCCCTGAAACACCTTAGAACATCGCGATAGAACTCTTTATTGACTGTCTGACCAGAAGGGACAAACTACTTATGAACACTCCTGTCAGTATCAAAAAAACAGATCAAATAGACTTAATATTGCTCTTGACTTGTCGAGCTATTTTTGGCCGAGGTGAAGAAGGGCTCTTCCATTGCGACGATTGCTGCTTGCTTTCAGGGTTGTAGCCATAAACCCAACTTTCGTCACCAGTGACAACCTTCGAAAGAAAGTTTGGATCCTCTTGAAGCTGTTGTAGAAGTTCCATGCAGACTTCCAAGCAATGCTGTTTCTGTTCATTTTGCAGCAGTTGTGGCACAAACTTTGCTGCAATCCTCCTCATGTTCAGTTCCTCTGACAAAATTCGTTGACGTGTACCATAACTTAGTCCCAAGGTGTTACAGAGATCTTGGATGGTCAGTCTACGATCTTGCAGAATCAGATCCCTAACTTTCTTGATACTTTCTGGTGTGGTGCCAGTTGGCGGCCGTCCCGAAAGATTGTCATCATCATTCGATGTTCGGCCAGTTTTGAAACGCTTATACCAGTTGTAAGTTTGTGTGTGGCCTAAACTGCTGCCACCAGAAGCTTCCTTCAACATTTGGTGTGTTTCTGCAGCGGTTTTCCCAAGTTTAAAACAGAACTTTATACAGACACGCTGCTCTCTCAGGTCAGCTGTCGCAAAACCTCAAACTCACGGAAACACAACAATGGAAATACGTTCAACAATAAACCCAACCACTCAGCTTGACACCGCTTGCCACACTGATTCAAGAAAGATGTGTAGGGAGACACCTAGCGGTATTTCAATGTACTCATATCCATTCGTGCACAAAATTCAAATTTCAGGAACTTTTTGATAGCACCACATACATAGTTCAGTAATCTCACAGCAATGTACTCATATTAAATGGATGGATATCATATGTCATACTTGATTTTTCTCTTACATTTCTTTTCTTATTTCAATTTTTCATGCCCTTACATGTTTCGGTCTTTAAGAGACCATCATCAGAGGGACATCAATACAGTTGGAAGCTACTATTACAGTATATGTTCTGAGGGTTAAAATATACATATAATGGTAATAATATATCATTTGATATAAAATCTAAAGTTTTTACAACTACAGTGGCTGTCTTAATATATTACAATTTTTATAATTGGTTTGTTAAGATTTTGTTAGCATTTACAAGTAGGTTTGTGTCCTCTTTCTTATTACTTCTCTTGACAGGGGCTGAATGTGTGCTGCCTTGTTGTTCTTGAGAAGAGGGTTCTTTGATGTTGTCCTGTGCGCCACGAACATCCTTAGGGCATCAAAGAACCCTCTTCTCAAGAATAACAAGGCAGCACACATTCGGCCCCCGTCAAGAGAAGTAATAAGAAAGAGGACACAAACCTACTTGGTTCATAAATTCTAACAAAATCTTAACAAACCAATTACAAAAATGTTAATATACGAGGGTTGGAACTTTAATAGTGGGAACTATTTATTTACAACTGATACAAAATTGATGCATGTTTCTAAGTTTTACTGTCCTTCAGTGTAGTCGCCAGCATTGTGTACAACCCATTGCCAGCGATGCGGAAGTCATAGGATACCTTTAGCAGCGCCTGTTGTGTTGATAGTTCGAATGGAGTGGTCTACTGCCTAAAGAATCTCTGAAAAAGTTCTGAAGCGAATGCCACAAAGTGGTTCCTTCATCTTAAGAATCAAGTCGAAGTCACAAGGGCTTAAGTCTGGGGAGTATGGTGGATGGTACAGCACTTCCCAGCCCCATCGATTGAATAAATCAGCCACAGCTTGCGCTGCACGCATCCGAGCGTTGTCCTGCAAAATGATGTGTGGGTTCTGCAGAAAGTATCGCCACTTCTTTCTCAAAGCTGGTTGCAGGTTGTGTTCCAAAATTGAGCAGTAATACTGCGCATTGTTGGTTTGCTGTCGGGGAACGGTATGCATTAGGATAACACCATCACAGTCGTACACGAGATTGACATTGCTGGGGTTCTGACGAACTTTTGATTTTCGTGGTGACCTGTAATGACACCATTCGTTCGATTGGCGTTTCATTTGTGGCTCGTATGATTTGGTCCATGTCTCATCCAGTGTAATGATACGGCGTAAGAAAGCCTCTCCTTCATGCTCATAGTACTCCAAGTGGTTACGAGCAGAGTCATATCATAGCCATTTCTGCATTTCCATCAAATCATGTGGAACCCATCATGATGCAGTTTTTCTCATGCCCAGGCATTCCTTCAGAATGTGAAGCACAGTTGTGTCTCTTGGGCCAGCTCACAAATTGTATGGCGTCAGTCACTCTCCAGTAACGTGGAAAGAGCATATACTTCTTCTCTTCTGACACTAGGATGACCTGGCCAACACATGTCTGCCACATTTTGGCATCCCATGTTGAAGGCTTTTACCCGCCTTGCCACTGTTCTGTAAGGCAATGCAGATTCCCTGCAAGCCTCTTGAAGACCTTGATGACACTGTCGTGCTGTACAGCCTCTGGCACATTCAATCTTTATCCAACTCCGTTGTTCCTATTTTGAAAACATCGTGACAACACTACATTAGACCGCCAGCTAACAGGAGGCTCTGTTCTTCTCGTCACTGTACATGCGTGTGATGTAGGAAGGGAGAGTCCATTTGCTCTGAGTTAAGGTAGGTATGTAACTAGTGTGTGGTATAAGTGACATTATTTGGTTCCATTGCATGGCTTCTCTGCAGCAGTGTTGCCACTATTAAAGTTCCAACCCTCATATTAAGATAGCCACTGTAGTTGAAAAAACTTTAGATTTTATATTCAATCCTATATTATTAACATTATATGTATATTTTAACCCTCAGAACATATATTGTAATAGTAGCTTCCAACTGTATTGATGTCCTTCCTATGATGGTCTCTAAAGACCGAAACATGTAAGGGCATGAAGAATTGAAATAAGAAAAATCTTCACCAGTCACACTGGAAGGAACTGTTTTAACTTTTTATAATATAATATTATAATTATAATATTGTTAGTGTGACAGGCCAGAATGAAACAAATCAGAATTACTAGAAAGTGTCTTTGCACCTGTCTTATTAATTTTTTTCAAAGCATGTGATCAAAGCCAAAAAATATTTGCATTAACATCTTACAACAGTAGATTACCTGTAATTTTTATTTACTTGAATTATACACTTCCTGTGAAGGTAACCAGCTTGATGTGTGCTTGTATTGGAATCATTCCAAAGGTCTCACAGTGAAGTCTTTATGCTGTTTTCCATGAGCTCAACATTTTCTTGTTAAACATGAATGCAGCATAACATGCTTCAAATTTATGCCTGTATTTAAGCCCTTAAACATCAAAGCACAATGATAATCTGTTTTTATAATGAGACTTTGTAACGGCATGGAAAATTGGTGCTACTATGAATACTTGTTACAGCAGTCAGCAACCAGGAAAGGTCAAAAGCTCTCAACAAAATCACATAGTGAATATTTGCAGAAACTCATCATAACCAGTGAATCAATGGAGTGTATAAAAAGATTGATGGTTATTCTGTAATAAAATAGATATGAATCATGTTACCACATTTGATGTTGGTACATGAAAGAATGTCGTGTGAATTTAATAATACTGGTTACTTTGAGTGCCATGAATGCATAGTAGGAAGCATAATCTTTATGTATCAATAACTGAACAATCATGGCAGGTGTGATGTGTTGAACTCAGGTGTTTATATTTATGACTGAACATTTTGGTGTTTCTGTTCACTTTCTTCCATTAATGCTCATTTTCTTGGAAAACTTTTATAAAAGCAGAAGACTATGTTATGTTTGTTTGTTTTTTACTTCTGAAACACAGAACCTACTTAACTCTTCAAAACACAGTTGTTAAGTGTGTGTACCTCTCTCTTTAATATTAAAAGTTCTACATTTTTCGCATACAATGTGTTTGTGGGTCTTGTATAAGTCTCACAGTTAACAGTGATTGTCTCCCTAAATGTTATTTATTCATTAGTCCTTCTGATGGAGATGTATGCTTTTGTGAGCTGTGAACTGAGTCTCTAATTTTATTTTGCTGAACCTCATTCTGTAAAGTGTTGAGCACATAATATTCCTGCAAGTAATGAAACTGCATACACTACGTGATACGCCACTGCTTTACAGATTCTTGTGATTAGAGATTTGTAGGCATGAATTGAAGTGGTGAATGCATGCAAGTCCCTATTTACACATTTAACAGAAAATACGGTTAGTTATGCAAGTGTTCTATGCCTGTGCACATTTCTTAAAACACATATATGTGATTGGTAGGATTGATGGTGTGACATCCTCCCACTGCTTTCATTGAGCTTTTGTGAGTACTTTTCACATAATCTCTATTGAAACTAAATAAAGCGTTCAGCTGCATCCAGCTCCACAGTTGGTATTGTTCACATGCAAGTAAGACAGTCATCTCTTCTGCATCTGATTGTTAAATGCTCACTGAAACTCATCCTGGGAAATTTTCAAGACTTGTCCCCTGAAGAGGCTTGTGTAAATAGGGACTGTATTAGAAGAAATGATGGCGAATAGAATGTTGGGGTAACTCTTAGTGTACAGACAGCATGATTCCTCTTTGTGACAGTGCAGTATAACTATTATGAGACAATTTTCCATACACCAAGGCTGCCAGCATGCTTACTTTAGCTCTCTGTGCATCATCCTACCAAGCGAGCTTGTTTGTTTGTGTGACTTATCTCAGATAGTGGAATATCAGTTTTGAAAGTAGAGGGGAATGCAACAGCCTGGTCCTGCCCTACAGGATGGTGACTGGTGCAGTTGCACCAGGCTATGCCTTTCATGGAGGAAAGAAAATATTTTGAATGTTTTCTTTTTTATTTGTGCATGTACTGAGCTTGTTAGGGATGAAGACTCCCATTGTCTCTCTCTATCCATGCTCCTAACTAGTCAAGACATGAGAAAGCTGTGTTACTAGAAGTTCTGTCATGACTCACAAAGAAATGAAGTATTAAGCTACATTGCATTCAATTCAAACTGAGTTTCTCCTAGAAGTTATTCATTGGTTGAAGTTTTATCAAGGAAAATTTTTGTCTTAATGTTAATCAATGAATGACATGATGGGGTTGGTAGGGATGAATATCTTGCACCATGCTACTGTGTTGCAGATACAAAAATTTGTGAAAATTATGCAATTGTCAGAATCATGTCAAGGCATTTTTGTTTCATTAGCAGTTACTCCTTTAAAGACTGCGTTTCTTGTAAAGGTTATATGACAGTTCAATTCATACATCACAGGAAACACATTACATCCTCATTACAAATATGCAGTTAATGTTGTTCAGAGAAACAGTCACTGTTTATTATGAGAACCATACAAAACACACAGATGCATTCTGTGGGAAGAAGGCAGAGTTTTAGTTATGTAGTTATGTTAGTAGGTGGTACATACAGAACCATTGGGCTTTGAAGTGTTAATGAATCACACAGTGAAGTCTGTAGGTTTAAATATCCATGTTGTGTTGCTACATTGTATTCATTTGCATTTGCCAGTCTAATGCATAAAATTTTAGTCTGAAAAGCCATTACAAATATAAATCACTCCATACAATGTGACATGTAAGTTTATTACTACATGAAAAAACTTAACACCCTTACATGTTTCGGTCTCTGCGGACCATCTTCAGAGGGCAAACATCACTACAAATAGGAAACCACCTTCACATAAGTTGTTCAGACGTAAAGTACATACACTTATATGCTACAATGCATAGTACACAAAATAGAACATCACACAAACACAGCAGTTTCCTGCGAATGTGAAGTTTTTAAAAATTATTTAAAATTTCTTGATGCTAATTAAAAATTTTGCATCGTCAATAATTAAAATTCATAAACCATGCAGGCTCGTGTTCGTCCTCCCATCGTCCCTCTTGTATGGGGCAGATATTGTGCCACCTGTCTATCTTGATGTGGAGGTTCTTTATATCTTCCAGGGTTTGCTCGTGGCTGCTAGTGAAAACAGCACAGCACAATTTTCTTCCATTTTTTCCAGCCATTTCACAGATTTCATAGTTAAGAATCACTTCTGCAATACCTGGCACAGATTTCGGAATAGCAAAGCAGCAACCAGGGACTGCTTCCAGTGGCAAGATATATTTTAATTATGACATGGCTGTGTATAGGAGTGTCCAGAAATATATGCTGAAATGCAGAAAACAGTTTTTTGTTTTTTTATCCAACTCTTTTGTTCCCTCAGATGGTTCAGATGTTCCCAATTTGAATACTGCTCTTTGAAGGATGCTGATGACTTAAATACAAACAGGATAACAGCAGCAGTATTTTTAGACCTGCTGCACTCCATATGGCAAACTGACACCAGTGGGTGACAGGTTTAATTCCATGTTACAGTACTGTCACATCAATGGAAGAAATGTAGTTTTTTCCTGTAATGCATGTGTATAAATGATCTGCTCAGACTGATGGCTGAGTCTTGCTGGCCCCTTCACTCCCAGCTGGAAATGGTTTGGTCTGCAGCATCTCTTCCTCACTTCCACTATTATTGTTTGTCATTGGACAGTCTTCTCTTTTCCTTATGCAGGCCCCACACTGGTTATTCAAAACAAGAAATGGCTGAAAACCAGCCCACAGGTATCTGCACTTGTAACACCATGTGATTATGGAGAAGAAATATAAGTCATACACAGGTGCATGGATAACTTGAAAACATAATACATGTCCAGATAATTCAGAGTTGACTGTATTTGTAATAACACAACATAGGTACATTATTTTGTTTAATGCAAAATGCCTGCATGCATTAAGAACAGTAAAAGGAATTAGAAAGTATTAAGCCATACCAGATACTGTGAAGCCAGGCATGCATAAATTATCTCAGAAAACAAATTATGTTCACTGTGCAAATGTTTCCATGTGCTAGTATTGAAATAATTATTTTGTAAGACAGTTCAATAACATGGACTGCCTTAAGCTGTGGCATTCAATTACATACTCAGTTCTTGCTTTTGCAGCAACAGACTGGGATAGTTCATGGAAGTTATGTTACTGCATTCACTCCAGTATACCAGCAAGAAGCTAACCAACCTCCTCCACTAGCAGCCCAGCTACAGCAGCAGACATCCCAACAGCCACAGACACAACAGTTGTACGTTGCAACCACCTACCAGCAGTCCAATGTCCCTCCTGTGCTTTTACAGCAGTCAGCTAACCATCAGGTAATGATACAAACTCCTGTGTATATACAAAGTTTTGAACTATTCTAGTTGGGAGATGACGCAAACATCAGGATGGTTTAAGTTTATGGTGATTAAAGTATTGTATTAATGATCAGACCTATTAACTTCATCGATACCAATGCATGTAGGTACATGAAGAAGCAGATGCTGTAATGAATCAAGGACAGGAGAAGTGGGAATATCCAAAAACACTTATCTGTAACTCGCTGAACATAAAATCTCTATAAAACATACGAGAGCTAACTTTGGCCAGAAACCTATGTCTGTTTTAAGATTTGCAGATGTACACATTTTGGTGTAAGTCTTCATTTTGGTTCAGAGTGGATTTGGTATCCTTTCCTCAATTAAAAAAAAGTAACAGTGTTCAGAAAATGTTAAATATGAGATAATCTGTCATTATTTTATTTAGATTAACATTTTTTGTTTTGTGAATTGTCATCTCCACTGACCCTTTCATTACACATGAAACTTCCTAAAAGAGTAGTGTGCCCTAATAATTATTATAAAAATTAAGGTGACAGTCTTCTGAGATGTGGTGCCATGTTTTATGATAGGTAGGTACTAATGTTTGAAGGACCTGCTGTCTCTGTGTTCATAGTAGAAGAGGATGGAGGTGTCAGATTCCTCCAAAATATTGGTCCTGTCTACTAAATTTTATGGCATCTCTTGCCTGAGACTAATTTTATTATTCACTGCTGTGAGAATCTCAAATCTCACACAGTTTACAAAATATTAAGGGAATGGAATCTTTACACCTTTATTACTGTTGTTCCAGGTTGGCAACACTGAGGTGTCGGTGTCAACCTCAGCACCCCTCCTTCAACCTTTATATTGTAATTCATCCTGCATTGTCAGTCCTGCCAGCACTGGCAGTATGGTACCAGTGAGTGTGATCCAGCAAACACAAGTGCAGTCCATCCCAACATCATATTCCAACTCCCTGTCTCTGGAAAAAATGGCTGGTGTTGCTATGCATAATATTCCCAGTGTCCATCCTTCAGTGTGTAGCATTATCCCACAGCAAAATTTTCAAGTGCATAACATCCCAGGTTTTGTACAACAGGTTCAGCAACAGAATTTAGTGATACCAGGGTTACCATTGTCTGCAACCAATGACACTCCACTATCCAATATAAACACTGATGTCATTACAACACAGGTCTCTCAGTGTTTGTCTGTTGCAAATGTTTTATCGTCATCCTCAACATTATCTGATAGTATAGTGAAGTCTATAAGTGCTGTTAAAACACAGCCAAATTACGTTCAGCTTCCTGTATCATCTTCAGCCATTGCTGAACCTGCATACCATACCTCAAGCCAGAGCACTTCAGATTCCATACCACAGCCTCTGGGTTACCAACAGAATTATCAGCTGCTACACCTTGCTCAACAACACTCCATGATGGAGAAGGTCCAACAACCAAATCTCATAGATACTCTTTCCATTTTGTCTCATTCTGGTTCTCCTCAAACTGGTTCATTGGGGGTCAGTACCCCTAACCAGTATCATTCTCAACCAAGCATTCCACAACATGACCCACAGAAGACTACAACTAGTGACAGTACTGCTCTTATCTCAGGATCCCAGGTGACTTCAGGTGACATATCAAATGTAAGTTTTCAACAGGCTTTGCCCCAAAATTCAAATTGTAATCAAGCCTTATCTGATTGTGGTATAGCTTCTAAGCCTTATGCTAGTGCTGATGTTAGCACCACCCCTGTACAGTCAGTAACTTTAACAGTCCCATATGCATCATGTCAACAGAGCACTACTGCACAAATGCTTACATGTCATTTTTCAAAAGTAGATGCCTTGCCTTTACAGCAGACTGCTCCAGTCATACTTCTCCAGCAGCCTAGTCCTACAGCATGTGTAATCACTGGGGATAGTCCTTGTGTTAGTGAAAATTATATGCAAAACACTTCATCTATGCTGCAGTACCATTTGCAGCAGCATATGATGCCAGACTTCAGGTCAGCCAGTAGTAGTGAGAATTATGTTGTCTCCCCTGTCATGACTCCAGTTTCAACACCAAACCCACCTTCAACACCCATCTCTGGGGCTCTTAATACTCTTCCACTTCAAATCCTTCAGCCAGAAACCCTCACAGAAAATGTGCAGTCTGTAAGTAAAACTTCTCCAGTTTTGCAAAATTTTGAACAGACTTTGAAGTTAAATCAAATGCCAGACTTTCAGGCAGAACATTGTCGGTCTCAGGGCATTGTGTATTCCAGTAAAGCTGATCAGACATTGAATTATCAGACTCCTCAGTCATGTGTAAATGTGAAGGGATCACAGATTTACCATTCCAATGTTACGAATACCAGCCATCTTAATGAGCAGTTACTGAACATCCAGATTAATGAGCCACCACAATATAATCAGAAATTTGATGCAGAGAAAGAACAACAACAGTCACTATATTCTACTTCAGCTGAATCTGAGACTGTACACAAAGTAAGTGAAGTCCACCACTTGGTACAGCAGGCCATACACAATGCAGGAGAAATGCTAGATATAAGTTCAAATAGTGAAAATCAGAATGTAAGTCCTGCAGTTGACAAACAAATCTGTGTAAGCTGTGAAGTGAGCAGTGTAAAATGCACTCACAGAGGAACCTTTCCTCCCCAACAAATTCATTCTAAGGAGGAAATACAAAGACCACCTGAATGTTCCAAAAAGGACCAAGAAGAAATGGGTACACAAACAACACCTTCATTGGACTGTGAGTCAACAGTGGTGGATTCACCAGCCACTAGGGAAGATAATCCTGTTCACTCTGTACTTTGCTCGCTGTTGGGTACTGCTGAAGAGGCAATTCAGACATCAGAAGCAGAGAAAATGATTCAAAGCTTACCAGTACCAGGTTCACTTTCCAGTGAGATGGCAACACAGGGTCATATCCAAGACTGCAGAAGAAATTCTTCAGGAATGTCCAGTATTCGAGGATCTCCAACTAAATCCACTACAAAGGTAGAAGATGGATTTTTCTTGAGATCATTTACTTTAATCAAATTAAAACTGCATTGGGAACACTGAGCAAGGCTTCCTTTTAATTTTAAAGTTGGTTTATTCATTTGTGCCATATTAAATTCTCTTCATTGTCTGTCTGTAGTATAGATATCATAATGCTGGGAAGGTAATATTTCTGCAAGAAAAATTGTGGTCATTAGTCAACAAGTAGTGCTCTTGCATATTTAAAAAAACATAAAATTTGCAGTTATTATATTATATTTACTCAAAGTAAAGTAACACATGTGAACGGAGTTCATGGAGGTAGGCCTAGGCCCACTGGGGCTGTAGTGCCAAGGCAGAAAAAAATGTAACACATTCTTTTTAGGAAATTATTTAAGTTTGCATGCAAAAGATTATTGTTCAAGGAAAAGCTTGATGATGCAAAAGCTTGAACACTAGAATAATTGAAAATGGGTAAGAACTTTGACTAAGCCAATGGGAAAACTGACAGATAACATCCCCATATATCTTGTTAATATTGTAACTTCTCATTCAGATGTTCATGTCAGCCACACAAAAACTAGAGTAACAAAGGTGACAGTTGCCTGCAACTTATTGCTCAGTTTATTATAACAATACTAATTTTAAATGTGGCCCTTAGTAATTGTTGGTTTCCTTCCTTCCTTCCCCTCAGTGCTACATCTCAGAGTGAGGTTTGGGCTCCTGAACAGTTTGCCTCCATTCTTCTCTATTCTTCATCTTTCCTCCTCATCCTTTCATTTTCATTTCCTCCAACCATCTCAGCTCCTTTGCTGATGTCAGTTTCTGCTCAATCCATCCATCCAAGGTTGATTGTCTGGTTTCTGAACAATTTAGTTTTTACAGTGTGAGGTTGTTAGCCTCATGCCCCACCCCCAACCTGGATGACCAGGGTGTCCCTCTTTGTCTGGCTCCTACCCCTTGACCTGTCCAACATGGGTGACCCTACCAGTAGCTATGCTACTGCTGGTATAGTTCTCAGGGTCTCAAGAGCACTGAAACCCAACCACCATGATAAGGTGGAGACACCATCAGTGGGGACTTGTTGGTTTAAAAATGGTAAAAGCGGTGAAAGTACATTTTCTTGTGCAGATTGAGCTTCATAAGGAAAGAATTGATATTACAGGGTATGGCTAGATATATATCAAGCATATAGATCACACATTTCCTTCCAAAAATATGGATGTGGCATATGCCAATGTCAGCACATCCTCATTCATAGAATATGAAGTATGATGCGAAATAATGTTGATGACACTGATATAGCAACAAATACCACAACAATGACAATGATGATGATGGCGCCGACAACGACGAGGGCCATGGTGGTGACATTAATATGTAAACCTTTGAAGGCATGTAGGATTTGAGGTTTTCACAGTGGTGACTGTGAAGAATGCCATCTTCTGGGATGTGGTGCCATGTAGATCTTGTGCGAACTGACATTTCGGAGTAATGTGTTGCCACCATCTTCAGGGTAGAAGAATCCCAGAAGACGACATTCTTCTTTGAAGACATGTTTCCTCCTAAAATATAAAATTTTATGGAACCAAAATAAATTCAACTTGTTTGCCAAGTAACACATCTTATTTTTTGAGCCTACACAATGAATTTTCTCAACAAGTACTTGTTTCACCATACCCAGTCTAATTTCACATGTATTAGTGGCACACTAAGGAAACTTTGGTTTTGTCTTAACATGGGATTTTATCAGAAGCATATATGTAAACTGTGAACATAGTTACAGGTATCCCTTGTTTTACAAATTTTTCTACAGTAAAGCATGTTAACTTGTACCTATTTTTCACCAACAAACTTCATTTTGGCTATAATGAGCGATTTTTTGTGTGTGATGGCAGAGAAATGCATACATAATGAATGGTGAGATTGGAAGAAGCGGGGATCCCCACACATGCACTTTTCCTGACTTTCCAGTCTGGCCAGTCACCTCATTGTAATCATGCAGATACAGCTGTGCTCTTGATTAAAATGCGTATTATTGCCTTTGTAGTCAGTAGACCTGCCTGTAAATTAATTTCACTATTATAATTTCTACTACCCTTACATCAGTCTATATTTGTTTTCCAGTCATGAAGACATGTAATTTAGAGGTTTCGTTTGCATAATAACAAGGTTGCATCAACTATGGGAAAATCATACATTTTTATTTGTAATCATGCGCAAGTAATACTGTCCTTATTTTAATGCTTATGTACTTCTAAAACATACCTTAAAATACTGGGGGATTTTACTGGGACTCGTGAACAAGGTGGCAACTTTTGCACATGAAGGAATGAAAATATAATTTTTGGTTTATGAATTGTAACCTTTCAAACGGTTCTCGGGGAATGATGTACCTTCATAAATCAAGGAATACCTATATTCTTACTGTGGATGTGGGCATGCTCTCTCCTGTTTCTCAGGAATTTTAACAGTCCGACTAATTTTATTAGCTTTAAACTGTTGCCTTTTTTGCTAAACATTAAACCACTTGTTTTGTTGTTTGTATATGTAATTGCTTGGCTCAAGGGAATTTTCAACATTGTTAGTTTTCCTAAGCAGACACTTTCTTGTGCCTTACCCCAGTCTTAACTTTTCCACTTATTTTCTTCCTCTTGCATTTCTACATTATTGTTGTCCATATTCAGCAGCTTTTAAGTTAATCTTTACTTGTTATGCATTGTATTATTCCAGCAGTGCACAAATACAATTCAGCTGACTGAGTGATGTATTTTTGTAGTAATATCATTACCCCTAAGTTAAAATATAGTTACCAGCCCCTTAGCCCTGGGAGATTTAAAATTCCATATTCCCAGTTAATAAATTGTTATTCATAAGTTAAAATCCAGCTGCTAACCCCATAGTACTAGGAAATTAAAGAAAAAGTTCCCTGTTCTTGGAAGATCAGTTTTAGTATCTGAAAAGGTCCCATACTAAACATGCACTCTCATTGCAGGAAAAATATGCAGTTGCATCTTGGGCTGACATACAAAGTGAAAGGATGAGATTTCCTAAAATAAATGGCACCAGAAGTATGTAAACTATGAACATGCCAGTTGAAAACTGTCCATAATTTGAAGCAGAATAATGGTTCATAATTTGATGAAGGTGCATAAGGTTTTTTCTGAAAATAAAAGTGTCACATTTTGTATACCCATCATTCTAACCTATACATATATAAATACAGTAGATAAGGTAGGTTTTTTTTTAATTGGCAGCAAGTCACTCATCACTTATGCAATTGGAAATATGTAATTAGTTTGCTTACTAAATGTACAGCTACTGATAGGAAAATACAAGTAGTAGTGTGGTGTATATTCACTTGGTTGTAGTTGTGGTATAAAAGTAAGGATGGATGACAAGTGCTGCAGTGGTGTCTGTTGCATTGTGAGGATCCAGATTTATGGGAGGGCAGGTTGGGATTAGGGTTATGTACATAAAAAGTTGCCACAGTTTAGGGGATCTTCAGATTGAAAGTATTCACATACAGGTTACCATGCTTTCTTCCATTATTGCATTGAGAAAAGTTAAGCTTGGAAGAATTGGTGAATGTTTTCAGCATATGCCAGTGTCTGTATAAGTTCTCCGTTTTCCCAAGTCATAAATTCTGTATCATAAAAATGAAAGGAAGTAGATAAACTAAATGTTTCAAGAATAAGGGTTGTATTGTTCAGATAAATGTTGTTTTATTGTAATACTTGATGTGCTTTTAAAAGTTGTCAGAGTGCTTAACTGATGTGAGCACTGTGCCATGGAGATGTAACGGGGAGTAGATGTATAGGTCCAAATATTGATGACCTTTGAACTAGTTGGAGGTGAGTGGTCAGCTTCACATCCTGGTCATTTTATCCCCAGGGAAGGAGCCCCTGGCACCCATTGGATAGGAGACTGGGTGGACCTTAGGACTGGTCTGCCCCTGTTGGGACTTGAATCTTGACCCCTTGGCTGTCCAGCTCATAGTCAGCCGCTACACTGACTGCACTCACCTGGGGTTCTCTTGATGTGCTTGACATTTGCTGAATCCTTCTCATTTATGATTGAGTCTTGTGGGCTAAAAAATCACAGAATCAATAGATGATCCTTATAAATTAAACTGTTAGCAGCATTTAATTGTCCTAGAGTTCATTTCATGTTATCAGATTAATACTAACTTCCCTAGCATTTTCAGTCCATGAGTGAAAGGCACCACGAATGAATTGTTGGATACCTGTTATCATAAATGAACTTCATCCTTTCAGCACAAAGAGTGTGGCTTAGATGGGAATAAACTTTATATTTAAAGTGTATTTAATCAAGTTTTCTCAAAGTTTACAATGAATTCTGGTTGGGATCTTCAGCAAGTAAGTGGAAGATGATAGAATTCAAAGCCTGGAAGGTGTTAACATACGAAAGGGGACCCAAAAATAACCGGAAATGACCTGTTGCACGCGCATGCTTTGTAGTTACGAGTTGTCCTGCTAGGTGGTGTTAGCTGGGGGTCTCCCACGACTGTTAGTGAGCTGGTGTCAGTCTGAGTTAAGTTGTTTGTCTGTGGTGCTCTGTTGTGTGCGTTCCTGTTTCAACCCTTTGGCGATTAGTGAGATGGCCGACCAGAAGGAACAAAGAGTGTGCGTGAAATTTTGCTTTCTGTTAGGGAAAACTGCACTTCACTCTTCAAGTCGCGGCAAACATTCACGCGGTTTTCTCTTTGGTCATCTCCGAGCAAGCGAGGAACAAATTTTGCAGACACCCGTCTCATGTGCAAACCTTCAGTTAAAATTCGCTGGACTGTGCTCCATGAGATGTTCGTTTCCTCAGAAAGTTGGTCAATCGTCTTTCGACGATCTTCATCAATTTCACGCACACTCTTTGTTCCTTCTGGTCGGCCATCTCACTAATCGCCAAAGGGTTGAAGCAGGAACGCACACAACAGAGCACCACAGACAAACCACTTAACTCAGACTGACGCTAGCTCACTAACAGTCGCAGGAGACCCCCAG